AGAAGAAATACAGCACTGGAGATTCGTAGACCAGTGGGAAGGGCACGTCCCTTAGAGGACGGAAAAGCATGAGTCCATAGAGTTACATTCGGACGTATCAGGGTTTAAATGGCGCGGTTCGGCCGCGACGAAGGAAGGCAGGGTGCAGTTCGGAGATTACTGGACAGGGCAATAACAGAAAGGTCAAAGAAGCTGAAGCTCTCAGGCAGGTGCTTATGTTCATGGAAGAGCGAGCGCATAGTAAGAGGGTAGAAGCCTACGGAACGCTGGGAAATGCTGCCAGGCCGCCGTAGTAGACGCCCATGTGGACAACACGAATGTAATCTCCGCCGGGAACAACCAAGGGGGGAAAGCCTCTAACTATCAAGGGCGGTGCGCAGACTGTAGGAGACGGTGGTCAGTTTAAATGGTGAGTTAATTCACGCCGTCGACAGTCAACGAAGCGGATGCCCCGTCCCGCCTTACCAAGGCGTCAGATGTGTTGTTGCATAGAAAGGTCTTCCAACGGATCGATGCGGAGTTAAGACACGGACCTCATAGGGTTACCGTCCAGCGTACAGTCAGCAAGGGACGGTCGGAATCTACGTCTCCTCAGTCCGTACCCAACTCCGTACTCTGAAGGGGTCAATGTATTTGCACAGGACCGTCGGGTCGAAACTATTTCGCGTTCCCTCCCTTCAGCCTTCTAACAGCTCTAGTAAATTTTGTGATGCAACAGAAGGCGAGGGTGATGATGGTGGTACCGGACAGGTTCCCCAAGGGCTACTGGTAACAAATTGTGGAAAGGGTGCGGGTAGCATGTGCGGGTTAACCAGTGCTATACTCACCGAGGAGAAGTGGTGGTTGGCAGGTACGGCCAACGGAGCACGAACTAGGGCCGATTCTCCTTGCGGAGACCGATAAGACAGAAATGTAAGGGATAACTCAGGCAACTAACTAGACCAGCAAGCGAATGAGACAGTTAACCGGCCTGTCCGTCTGGGTTTCGGACCGTGGCAGAAACTCCAAGGGAACCGCCGATAGAATTAAAGCTCAACTCCCAAACAGGGGCGGTTGCAGACCTCCAACCTCAGTCGACAATTTTTCCCTACAATAGTCAAGGCGAGGAATTCACTAGCACCCCAGGTTGCTCGGGGTTCAGCGGGGTCCCAAGGTTATGGCTCCCGGTAGTAAAACGGGTAGGGTGCGGCTACCCTAATGATTTGCAATTGGATTTCAATTTCTGCCAGCGAGGTGGAATGACATAAGTTCAGGAGGCACCGGCGTTAATGCTTAGGGGCGCAGAGGGATCACGCCGCTGTCGATAGCAGGTTGTAAGAACTCCTGGGAGAACAAGAACACTCCGCCTATATCAAGCAAAGTCGGCTTTAAGCGACTTGTTAAAGAACTTCCTCAGAACCTTAATCCCACTTAAGACCCTTGACACGGTAGCTCCGGTAGACGTTGTCAAGTTCTTTATCGGGAAAGGCTAGAAAGGGAAGACGAAAGTCCACGAGGCAGGTCGAGGGGCCGGCAAAGAGGAGTGTAAATGCCCGTGTCACGTGTGGGCTAGTGTTTAAAACGGTTAACACATATGTGGGCAAGCTTAGCAATTCTCAACGACTTGGGTAGGGGGAGCGAATGGGACAGCGATTGGAAGATGGGAACCCGGCAAGGGGGAAGGTGGTTAAGCAATACCCGGCGTCAGTGACAGCGGAGCAGTTGAGACAGCGATCGACTCCGCAACAAAGTAGCACAGGTTTGCGAAGCCATCCCAGAGAAAATAACTTCCGGAAAATCGGCGACAAGGATGTTCACAATGACAGGGATTAAGTCATCTTCAAGGTGACCTTTTTCTCGGGTGACCGCTTGGCTGACCTCTTGGGGACCAGAACAGCAGAGGTGTCAAGATTACCGTAAGGCGCACTGGTAATGAACCATGTGTGGGGGAAAACCTTGCGAGATGGCCGGCACAATGGTTCGTCTTAGAGAAGACAGGTGACAGCTCCGTGGGCCCAGGAGAGGCAATCGGCTGGTCAATCAATCAATCCTCCGCAGGCGTCATGGTCTGACGCATAGCGGCTACAGTCCCGCAAAGGTCCCGCCAAGATGATCTGTTCTCGGCCCAGACCCTCCAGTCGTCTCTGACACCCAGCTCCCCAAGTGTGGGGAAGAGCTGGTCTTCCCATCTTGCCCTAGGGCGGCCCCTTGGACGTCTCCAGGTTGGGTTAGGTTGTGAGGTCAACAGTTTGATGACGTCCTGGGTAGGAACAGCTCGAGAGGCATGCCCCAAGAAGGTCATCTGCTGCTTGACGATCCTGCGTGTTACAAGTGGCTGGTCTGTCCTAAGACGGACTGTTTCATTGGAAATGAAGTCGTGCCAGCAGATACCCTCTATCTTTCTCAGACACTGTGAATCAAAAGCATCCAGTTTCTGAGCAAGTGACTTTGTAATAGTCCATGACTCTGCGCCATACAGAAGAACAGACAGGACCAGAGTGTTGTACGTCCTTAACTTGGTTGTTCTAGCCAGGTGTTTGGAAACGCCACACACGACTGAGATTTGCAAAGGCTGCTGAAGCTATTCCCAACCTGCGCTTAACATCTTGGTCAGATTTACAGTCTGATGTGATGAGACTACCAAGGTAGGTGAAGCACTGAACAACCTCGACCGACTCTCTTCTGGTGGCAGGGCATACTGGTTGGTCCAAGAAGTCACTGAGCGACTGGAGCTTTGTCTTCAGCCAACTGACCTCAAGACCCAAACCCTGGCTCTCTACAGAGAAGATCTCGAGTGTGCTCACAAGGGCTTCGAATAGTTCAGCGAGAAGTGCCACATCGTCGGCATAATCCATGTCAGAAAAGGTGGTCAATGGCAATCGCCAAATACCTGTCCACAGAGTTGGAGGGGGCTATCTCTTTCGAGCCAGCGTTGGCGACGGCTCGGTGTTACCGGAGCAACCCTCCACGGCAACAATGAATAATTCGTCCGTAGACATCTGCAGAAGTTAGGCGTCGATCAAGGAGAAACATGTCATGGATGTAGGGCAGTTTGCGCGATTGCTCTCCACATGGTGGGAGCATCTGAGTAAGAAGTGGTGGATCATGTGGGGTGATGCACAAAATGGACGGCAGCCTACTACATGGACTGGGTAGGGTAATGAAGCTTGGGGAGGCAACATCGAGACTAGCGGCGGAAGAGGTAAAGCAGCCCGTAAAAATGTAGGAAAGAAATAACGTGCTACTGGGAATAAACAAAACCTTTTAGAGTAACCCCATCTGAAGAAGACGTCGGATATGGTAGGCGAAGGGACAAGCGAGCTAGACGAAGGACGATTGTTTCTTTCCTGTATGTTATATAACAACGGGGTCTCGAGATCGGGCAAGTAATTAAGAGGGAACGGGTGACCTAATAAACGTCCTCTTGTTTGCTACGGTTCTGCCTCTGTCTCTTCTTTCCACTATGGGCTCGATAGTATGAACGGTAAACAGTCACACATGCAAGAGCCAGAAAAACGGGGAATAGGAGTGGGGGGAGATGAGAGAGGGGATATATCTTCGAACGAAGTTTTGGGGATAATGAGAGTGGGGTATACTTTCAGTCGAAAGTATTGAGATGAAGTAAGGGGTAGGCTTTCTAGCGAAAGCTTGGTTTAGTAAGGAAGAAGGGCGCGCCTCCAGGAGTTAGCGTAAAGGGGAACTCCCTACGCTAACTACGGGGACAAACGCAAATGATGGCGCGACGTAGGCACTGCCCCATAACTCATGCAGGATGATCCAATGATTGTGCAGTGTGGATAGTAACCTATCTTCACTGCACTGTGATTGGTCATCCGAAATGACGTCACCAATCAACCCCTTATAAGGCGCGCGCGCACTCCATTCTGCCCTTTCATTCGGAGACATCCGCAACCCCGAAGAAGCAAGGTGGGACCGACCCGGCAGTTGAGGCAGGAGGGTGGATGGGGGAAGCTTTAAGAGGAAAGGCATTTCCCTTCATTTTTTTGACCCACCCACCCACCCAGATCCAGTGAAACTGCTCACCTGCGGGGACTCGGTTCACACCGCGCGACTTCGGCACTGCCCCATAACTCATGCAGGATGATCCAATGATTGTGCAGTGTGGATAGTAACCTTTCTGTGACCCCGGGGCTCGTTCACTATACACTCAGGGGAGGAGTGCACTGTATCTGTCTAGACTTAACGGGTACCAAGTCTTCCTCAAAATCATGAAATGATGGCAGTGCCATGCAAACAATAACCCTAACAGCAACCACCGTCGCGATGGCAATGTACGTTTTCATTGCCAGTCTTGTTTTAGTTTAGTTTGAACACTTTGATTGTATGGATATTCAATGGACTAAAATTATAAAAAGCATAGGGGAATCCTCAAAAAGTATTTATGAGGAAAACCTGTTCTTGAAATCTGGCTTGGCTATAGTGGCACGGAATATGACTATTATGAGTTGTTAAAAGCTTTTTTAGTGATTATGCCCCAACTGTGCTTGGTCGCAACGAGTTCCACTCTACAATAGTTCTACGAAAATACGAGTTTTTGAACACCTCAATTATTGGTTGATAACTCTGATATTTGAAGGCATGTTTCCGGGCTGGTATCAGATATTTAGTGGTTGGTACGTCCACTAGTTTATTAGTCACTTTGTACATCATGCACAGTCTGGACATTTTTCATCTGTCTTCCAGTGACTCCCACTGTAGGGTTCTTTTCATTTCCGTTACACTAGCTCCCCTTTCATAGTTATTCGTAAAGAATCTTGCAGCTTGATTCTGTACCCATTCAAGTTAATTAGTTTGCCTTTGTCTTTCCTTGTATATGGACCCCACACTGTCGCGGCATATTCTAGGTTCGGTCTCACATTACATGTCCCACTCTTCACAACAGGATTCGCAGCTGAAACAGGTTTCAACATCTCAGTCAGCATTCCGGAGAACGAAACAGGCCTGGTGGACAAGAACCCAAAATACAGCTTCAGCACAGTGTCTTTGCTGTCCAAACAAAGTTCCGCCATGGCGGGACCATACCTGTTTCCAATCGGTGACCCAGACGAAGATTATGCCGTAACCATCGCCGTCACGGCAGTAGGTGACGACGGCTCCTACTCTGAATGCAACACCAGTGCTTCGGTAAGTGAAGAACTACATTTTTTATATTATCCTCGACAAGAAATGTAAAACATTATCAAAAGAAGACATTTTTAAATATATCATATCATGTACAAACATAGACGTCATCAATGAAGTGTGTAAGTATATTTCAAAATGTTTGAAAAAGAGAGAAGTAGCCATTAGAACTTAGATCTATATCACTTCATATATATATATATATATATATATATATATATATATT